TAATCTTTCTCAAACTCTCCATTTAAAATAAACTTATCCGTTACTGGACTCTTAAAGATGTCAGAACGGCCGAGCTGTCTAAGGCGTTGCGTTCATGTCACAGTCCACTCTTGTGGGAGTGGGTTCGAATCACACTTCTGACGTGAATATGAAATTTTGTTTTCCTTCTAATTTGTAGCCATACATAATCTTTCTCAAACTCTTAATTTAAAATAAACTTATCCGTTACTGGGCTCTAAAAAAAGTCAGAATGACCGATCGGTCTAATTCATTGCGTTCAGGTCGCAGTCCACTCTTGAGGGCGTGGGTTAGAATCCCACTTCTGACATAAAAACAAAATTTTATTTTCATTCTAGCCGTACATAATCTTTCTTAAAGTCTGAATTTAAACTACACTTATGAGTTTCGGGCCGCAGCATGAAGTCAGGATGGCCGAGCGGTCTAAGGCGCTGCGTTCAGGTCGCAGTCCACTCTTGTGGGCGTGGGTTCGAATCCCACTTCTGACATGAATATGAAATTTTGTTTTCCTCCTAATTTCTAGCCGTACATCATCTTACTCAAACTCTGCATATAAAATAAACTTATATGTTTCTGGGTTCTACAAGAAGTCAGGATGGCCGAGCGGTCTAAGGCGCTGCATACAGGTCGGAGTGCACTCTTGTGGGAGTGGGTTCGAATCCAACCCAACTTCTGACATTAAAGAAAAAATTTATTTTCATTCTATTCGTACATAATCGTTCTAAAAATCTGAATTTAAACTACACTTATGAGTTTTGGGCCGCAGCGTAAAGTCAGGATTGCCGAGAATTCTAAGGCTCTGCCTTCAGGTCGTAGTCCACTCTTGTGGACGTGGGTTCGAATCCCACTTCTGACATTCGAACAAAATTTTATTTTTATTCGAGCCGTACATAATCTTTCTTAAAGTCTGAATTTAAACTACACTTATGAGTTTCGGGCCGCAGCATGAAGTCAGGATGGCCGAGCTGTCTAAGGCGCTGCGTGCAGGTCGCAGTCCACTCTTGTAGGCGTGGGTTCGAATCCCACCTTTGACAAGAATTATAATTTTTGTTTTCCTTCTAATTTCTAGCGGTACATAATCTTTCTCACTCTGCATTTAAAATAAATTTATATGTTTCTGGATTCTACAAGAAGTCAGGATGGCCGAGCGGTCTAAGGCGCTGCGTTCAGGTCGCAGTCCACTCTTGTGGGCGTGTGTTCGAATCCCACTTCTGACATGAATCTGAAATTTTGTTTTCCTTCTAATTTCTAGCCGTACATAATCTTTCTCAAACTCTCCATTTAAAATAAATTATCCGTTACTGGGCTCTTTAAGTGGTCAGAACGGCCGAGCTGTCTAAGGCGTTGCGTTCATGTCACAGTCCGCTCTTGATTGAGTGGGTTCGAATCCCACTTCTGACGAGAATATGAAATTTTATTTTCCTTCTAATTTCCATCCGTACATAATCTTTCTCAAACTCTGCATATAAAATAAACTTATATGTTTCTGAATTGAACAAGAAGTCAGGAAGGCCGAGCGGTCTATGGCGCTGCGTTCAGATCGCAGTCCACTCTTGTGGGAGTGGGTTCGAA